AGGAAAATCAGCATTAGGCAAACCTCTTTTTATGCATCCATTTGAAATTAGAACGATCTTAATGGGTTTGAATGATTTTTCAGGGGTTGCAAAAAAAAAAAAAAAAAGTACCTTATGGGCCCAGGCAGATAACCTAAGCAAAGCACTAGATAAGATCTGTGGTGAACTGAAGAACATATGCCTAGTCTAACGGCATTCAGGGTTAACAAAAAACGTAAGACACTATAAGGACTATAGAAAGCATCTGTAACAGAAGCTGGCCCAGAGATCACCAGTTTGACTTTTCTCTATAATCTGGGCGGAAAGCTCCAGTTGCAGATTGGTTATTTTTTTTTTTATTTTTATTTATTTATTTTTAAAGATTTTATTTATTTGAGACAGAGAGAATGAGAGAGAGAGAGCACATGAGAGGGGGGAGGGTCAGAGGGAGAAGCAGGCTCCCTGCTAAGCAGGGAGCCTGATGCGGGACTCGATCCAGGGACTCCAGGATCATGACCTGAGCCGAAGGCAGTCGCTTAACTAACTGAGCCACCCAGGCGCCCACAGATTGGTTATTTTTATAAATGAATATTTTAAGATCCATTCAACTTTTCTATTTCCCTCTCTTAAATTTTTTTTTTTAGAATCTGTTCATTCAACTCAATTTATTTCAAAGTTATTGGCATAAAGTTGTTTGTCATACCTTCTATGACTTTTTTAACGTTTATAAAATCTGTGGTAATGCTTCATTTTAAATTTCTGACTTTGGTTATTTGTGCCTTCTATCTACTTTTCTTGGTGTCTTATCATGGGTTTATTAATTTTGGTAGTTTCTCCAAAAATAAACTTTGTTGGTTTTCTTTATTGATGTTGACTATTTTGTTAATTTCTCTTCCTGTATTTCTTTTTTTTTTTAAACCCAGTGGGAAGACTAGACTTTCTTTTAAAGATTTTTTTTTTAAGATTTTATTTATTTATTTGAGAGAGAGAATGAGATAGAGAGAGAGAGCATGAGATGGGGGAGGGTCAGAGGGAGAAGCAGACTCCCTGCCGAGCAGGGAGCCTGACGCTGGACTCGATCCTGGGACTCCAGGATCATGACCTGAGCCGAAGGCAGTTGCTTAACCAACTGAGCCACCCAGGCGCCCTTTTTTAAAGATTTTATTTATTTCTTTGACAGAAAGAGAGAGGACCTGCACAGGCAGGGGGAGTCGGAGGGGGAGAAACAGGCTCCCCACTGAGCAAGGAGCCCTATGCAGGACTCGATCCCAGGACCCTGGGATCATGACCTGAGCTGAAGGCAGACGCTTAACAGACTGAGCCACTCAGGAGGCCCATCTTCCTGTATTTCTTTATATGTCCTTTGTTTTTCTTTTTCTAGCTTACTGACATATATGTTTAGCTCTTTGTCCATCTTTTTCTAAAAAAGCTATGAATTTTTCTTAAAGTATGGGTTTATCTGCTGCTCGTAAGTATTTGTGTCCACACATAAGTAGTTTATCATCTTTTAGTTTTATTATCATTTGGTTAAAATACATGTGAATTGCCATAGTTTTTTGATCTATGGATTATTTAGAAGTGTATTTTAAATGTTCAAACTAATGAATTTTTTTAGCTTTTGTTTTGTAATTGATTCTTTGCTTCATTGTATTAGGGCCAGAAAAAAATTATGATGGTTTAAATCATTAGAAATTTTTTGAGACTTGTTTTATGGGCCAGAAATATTTGTAAATATTACATATGTTCTTGGAAAGAATATGTGTTTTATGTAGTCGCTAGTTACGGTATTCTATAGCCGTCCATTAAGACAATATTGTAATTGTATTATTCAAATATTCTAGATCATTACTGATTTTTGTTTGTTTGTTCTGTAAGCTATCACCGAAATCTCCCACTGTGATTGTGCTTTTGTCTCTTTTGTATCTTGTCAATTTTTGCTCTACATATTTTGAGGCTATGTTATTAGGTACACACATCTCTTGATACTCTACCTCCAGGATGAGCTGAAAATTTCACCATTGGTATAGGTTTTTGCTTTGTTTGATATTAATACAGTTATACCAACTTTTAAAAACTTAATGCTTATCGGGCGCCTGGGTGGCTCTGTCATTAGGGTCTGCCTTCAGCTCAGGTCATGATCCCAGGGTCCTGGGATCGAGCCCCACATCAGGCTCCCTGCTCCAGGGGAAGTCTTCTTCTCCCTCTCCCACTCCCCCCGCTTGTATTCCCTCTCTCCCTGGGTCCCTCTTTGTCAAATAAATAAATAAAATCTTTCAAAAACAATTTAATGCTTATGTGGTATTTTTTCTGCCCTTTTATTTATAACTTTTGTGTTCTTATGTTTTAGATATCTTCTTGTAAACAACTTGTAATTTAAAAATATCTGGTTGAAATTATTTGTCTTTTAATTGGAATGATTGGTCCATCTACATTACTGATATATTTGAGTTTAAATCTAAAATCTTACTATGTGACTTCTATTTGTTCTACGTTTTATGTTTATATCTATCTCCTTTCTTATATTCTTTTGGATTGATAGTTTATTATTTTCTCTCCTATTAGTTTGGAAGTTACACATTATTATGTTATAGGATATAGAGCTAATATTTGCAATGTCAATATCTAGAATATACAAGGAGTCTTTTTAATGAACAAGAAAATGATGGGGAACACAAAAGAAGAATAGGCAAAGATTATGAACAGGCAATTTCCAGATGGGAAAGTATGTGAACTGATACACAGCTTCATTTGAAATCAGAGAAACTCAGATCAAGACAACAAGGAGATATCACTTTACACTCCTAAAATTTGTAGACATTAAAACATGTATTTGGATAATAGCAAATGTTGGCAAGGCTGTGGAGAATTGGCAAATTATATGTTCTACTTGTGAATAATTAAACATATTCAGCTGTTCTTAAGCACGAAATAGCCGTATTTAGTAAAATTAAGCATTGTACAATCCAGCAATCCCACTATTGGGTAAAAGCCTTAGAAATACTGGTATATGAGTGTACCAGGAGACAGGCATCAGGAACCTCAACATAGTGTTGTTCAGAGGTGGGAAGGAAATGGAAACACCATAGATGTCCATCAACATGGGACTAGGTTAAAAAAAAACATGGTCGATGCATATACTGCAGAATATCATGCAGCAGTTAGAGGAAATGAAAGTAAATAAATCATAAGAGCAGCATTGAGTGAAGAAAGTAAAAACCAGAATTGAATCTAGCAAAACAAATTTGCTATACAAAACCATGCTATTTATTTTTCAGAGACACAAACAAATCTGAGCATATTTAACAAAAACATCATAAAGTGGTTGTCCTCATGGGGTGAAAGGAAACAAGAGAGGGATTTGCATTAAGAGGCAAGATATCCAGAGGGTGCCTGGGGTGCCTCAGTAGGTTGAGCATCTGACTCTTGGTTTTGGCTCAGGTCATGATCTCAGGGTTGAGCCCACGTTGGCCCTGCATCGGGCCCCAAGCTCAGCACAGAATCTGCTGAAGATTCTTTCTCTCTCCCTCCCCCTCTGTTCTTCCCACTGCTCACTTGCACACATGCACACGCTCTCTCTCTCTCTCATTCTCAAATAAATAAATGAAATCTTAAAAAAAAAAAAAAGAGGCAAGATATCCAGAAGTAAAATTTAACAAGATGAGGATCTGTATGGGCTTTTATGATGACAGAGTGATAACAAAGAGCAGGATTAACTCAATTCAACAGGAGAGTTCCTTTACATCAGTGATTCCAAAGCCCAAATTATGTATATTAGAATCTTTGCCCTATTTGGAGAACATTTAGACAGTGCACTTACTATCTTTTTTAAATAGCCTCATTTAAAACACAAAGGAAGCTTTATATCATGACCATAAATGGAAAACTAGTATATTTTCCTGGTAAATACAAGGGAGGTGTAAAAGTAATTACATGAAAACATGCTGCACGATATTCTGAAGTTCCAGCTGTATACTGTGACCAGCTGAAGGCTGAGTCTGAGGTTGGGTCTCTGGAAAAGTCTAGAAAGTCACTAAAAAAACAACAACAAAAGAAAGCCACTAAAGATAGTAACACCAGCCTACAACATTCCTTTTCTTTAAAATCAGAAGAGAAAGAAAATTAAGAAAGAAATATAACTTTATACGATGTGCTTTAGAAATATTTAATGCCATTAGCTGGCATTTAGCACAACCCCTGAAATTAATTTGAGACCCATCAGTGTTATGTGTCCCACACTTTGGGAAACCCAGGAGTGAACGGCTGCTAATGTATTTTCCAGGCCTTTAACTTTCTGAAATTGCACGAGATTAAGAAAGGCAAAATCTCGTTGTGAATGAGGAAAGATTCCTGGTACGAATAACACGAAATAACAGGATGAATTTCCAGTTGAGGAATTAGGGCTAAAAGTCTGCTTGGAGGGTTGAATCAAATCTCCATGATTGTTTCAGAGCACTCTGCAAATGTTACTTAAGCTCTGGGGATGATCCAGGTGAAGCTCATTGGAACTGGGGGTTGGTTGATGAGTTTTTTTTTTAAGATTTATTTAGAGAACGTGAGTGGGGGGGAGGGGCAGAGGGAGAGAGAGAATCTCAAGCAGACTCCCTGCTGAGTGGGGAGCCGGACAAGGGCCTGGATCCCAGGACCCTGAGATCATGACCTGAGCCGAAATCAAGAGCCAGCTGCTTAACCCACCGAGCCACGCAGGTGCCCCTGCTTGATGAGTTCTAATGGGTTGTAACAATGCAGCTTCTGAGCCATCAGCAAGCTTTGGAGCTGTGCTGGGGATGGTGTACAAAGGTAAATATAAAGATAAGAGCCCCCAGAACTTGTAGTTCCATTGGTCTATGACTTCTTTAGCAGTTTACAGGATTACAAATAATTTGATTGATGGAGGGAATAGATATTATTTACCATGATTTCTTCCAGACATTGTGAAGACTATTTAGGTTGCAAGTGACATAAACCTAATAAGCGAAAAGGTGACACAAACTTACCAAGACTGGTTTGCTTTCCTTCTTCAGATTGGTTATCTCCATATCACCAACCCCAGTGGCTTCAGGCTTCCTCCCTTCCAGCTTCCACTCCTGAGGGGAGGAGAGCAAGAGAGCTTCTTTCTCCCAACGGATTCCAAGAGTCTGTGGAGCCTGTTATTGGCCAGAATGGAGCCCTGTACCCATTCCTGAACCATTACCACAGGTAAGGAGGATTTCTTAAAGTATAGATTCATCCTCTACACTGGAGATGGGAGTGGGGCCAGTCCCATCCAGAAGACACGTCTGAGAATGGGGAATGGAAATATATGCTGGGAAGGCAAAGTCAACAAATACTCATTGCTTCTTTGAAGTTAGAACCAGGGGTCAGCAAGCTTTTTCTTTAAAGGATAAGAGAGTAAATATTTTATCCTTTTTGGGCCACTTAGGGTCTGTATCACACCTCTCTCTCTCTCTTTCTATTCCAACCCTTGATTTTTATTTATTTATTTATTTATTTGAGAGGTGGGGGGAGAGGGAGAGAGAGAATCTTAAGCAGGCTTTATACCCTGCATGGAGCCCATGTGGGGCTCGATCTCATGACCCTGAGATCATGACCTGAGCCGAAATCAAGAGTCAGATGCTCAACTGAGCCACCCAGGTGCCCCTCTGTTACAACTCTTTAAAAAGGTCAAAACCTTCTTAGCTTGTGGGCTATACAAAATTGGCTGCAAGCTGGATTTGGTCCATAGGCCACAGTTTGCTGATCCTTGAATTAGATTGACCCTTCTTTTCTGTGTTTCAGATTGACTTTTTATAAGGTTTATTTTCTGAAATGCTTCTATAGACAAAAAACCGCTAATCCAGAAGCTTCATTAGAGCAGGGGTCATATCTTTTCTTCTCCTTATTCTTTTCTTCTTTTCCCCCTCCTCCCCCTCCCCCTCCCCCTCCTCTTCTCCTTGCTCCTCTTCCTTCTTTCTCTTCCTTCCCCTCCTCCTCCTCCTTCTTCTCTCTGCTATTATCACTATTTGCCATGCCCTGTTTTTACCACCTTCTATCCAGTGTCCACAGCACAATGTCTGGTAATTGAAGTCACCCAATGAGTGTATATTGAGTAGATAAGAGCCCTTTCTTAAAGCCCCACCAACAAAGACCGGCCTGGAAAGAGGCTTGGAAGAAAAGCAAATCATTCTCTTTGGTGTTTCACTGAGCTGCAATGCTGGGTGATTTCAGGAAGGTGGGTCGTGGTTGGCAGAAAGCAAACTGCGTAAGGAAGCAGGAAACTGAAGTTTCAGTTCTGGCTTTGTCACAGCTTTGTGACTTTGGACAAGTCGTTGATCTTCCTTGGCTCTTTTTGCTTCTTCACTTGTAAAATAAATGACTGGATTAGGGAATGGCTGAAGTTTTCTGTAGGTCAAAATTTCATGGCATAAAGGGAAACATTATACAACAGTGACAGGGGCCGACAAGAGGGGGAACTGTGCCCTTATTGTGGGATGATTTTGGAAAGTGGTTTTCAGTTTTGGCTTTCTGAAGAAATGCTAATGACCAAAACTGACATATAAATGCAGCTATAATTGAAGGAGGGTTTGTCAGGGGCGCCTGGGTGGCTCAGTCAGTTAAGCATCCAACTCTTGATTTCACCTCGGGTCATGACCTTAGGGCCATGGGATCAAGCCCTGCATTGGACTCTGAGCTCAGCAGGGAGTCTGCTTGTCCCTCTCCCTCTACCCCTCTCCCGCCTGATCACACACGTGCTCTCTCTCAAATAAAATCATTAAAAAGGAATTTAAAACTTTTTTTTCAATTGAAGGCAGGAATATTTCTATTTTTTTTTTCAAAGGATGAGGCTTCACAATATGTTCAGAAGCTTACCTTTCACTACACACATGGCAGACATTTGTAGCTGGAGAAATTACCTCTATGTAAATATTGTCCAATAAATTAATCAAACTTCTACTGAGAACTGATTAAATATCAGGTGCTTAGTTAGATGCCTCAAAGATAGAGAACAGATGGTTCCTTCCCTAAGGGAGTTTTAAACTGGAGATGTTGAATGGAGAATCATTTAGGTCTAACCAGGAAAACAGAAACACCTCTAAGTACTTCGAATGAGGGAATTTATGCGGAAAGTAGTTACACAGATGATGGAATTGTTGAGAAGCCAACAGGGGATGAGGCAGTGACCCAGGAGACGATGCGGACCTGCTGCTAGGATGTTTTTAGAGGCATGGAAAAAGAAATGGCCCGTGATAAATGAGGTGGAAATGCCAGAATTTCCACAGAAGGTGATGGAAATGGATTGAAAGGCTCAGAATAAGGCCAGAGAACCCGCCAGGTGCTTGTGTGCCATGGAAAGTCTTGGAGAAGATATGTTTGTAAGGAAATGCAGAATGTGCGGGTGAGTGGGAGACCAGCATCCCTTGGAAGCCTGGTGGGGCTCCTTGGCAGGCCAAGGCTAACTCTCGGATACACGGGGACAGAACTGGGCTTACCGATAGCAACGGGGAAGCTCACACTCTGGAGAAATAGAGGCCAGATGGTGACATTGAACGTCAGGTGGGCAGAATTATTGTAATGAATTGAAAGGTCAGAGCAGCAACCAGGAAGGCCCTTCCTACAGAGCATTATGAAGATGCTTAAAGGAAAAGGACATCTCCGGGCACGAAGGATGGGCAGCCAATAAGAGTACTACTAAATGTGTACAATCAAGAGAGATCAAGAGCGCATGATCGGGAGGCTGAGAGCAATCACTTATAATAAAAAGATACAACACATTGCTCATTTTTGCCAGACCTGAGCCAGTTTTGGAACCTGAAACCCAGTGAGAGGCCAGTTCTGCACAAGGAAGAGCCTTGCCAGGGTCAGCAAGGGTTCTGATGTCACAGCATCAGAATATAGAAAAGACATGGCTGGGCGCCTGGGTGGCTCAGTCGTTAAGCGTCTGCCTTCGGCTCAGGTCATGATCCCAGGGTCCTGGGATCGAGTCCCACATCGGGCTCTCTGCTTGGCGGGAGGCCTGCTTCTCCCTCCCCCTTTCCCCCTGCTTGTGTTCCTGCTCTCACTATCTCTCTCTCTGTCAAATAAATAAATAAAATCTTTAAAAAAAAAAAGAAAAGACATGGCTAATACACACAGGTTCATATTATATGGTCACTGATCTGGCAAATGGGCCCTTTTCATTCCCTATCAGATGAGAAACTGCCTGCTATTTACATGGAATGGTCAACAGTATGCATTTATAGTTTTGTTCCAGGATCATGTTAACTCACTTCCTTCTATCATAATATACTCTGAGTAGTTCTGACATTCCACACTGCTCCCCTAAATTAATAAAATCGTGATAATTTGCAAGAAGTGGCTGGCAGGTTAGAAGCCTTACTCTGACTCTTGAGGGTGAGAGAGAAGAATCTGTGAAGAACTAAGGGCCTGTCCATATCAACAGCATTTCTCATGGGTCAACTTGTCTCGGGGTGTGACTATTGAAAAGATGGAGGTAAAAAGTCTTTCTTGCCCCAAGTAGGGAGAGTTTTGTAGGGTATGCCCATCTTTAAGAGACTCCCTACAGAGTTGCCAAGTTTCTTTTGAGATCTCGTCACAGCTTGACCTCTCCCTGGACCAAACTTGTTTCCTTCCTTTCTTTTCTCTGGCGTTGACCCCCAAGAATACTTCCTAATCAGCCCCCCACACCCTAACCTCCATCTTAGAATCCACTTCTTAGGAAATCCAACCTGTGACAAACGTCTTTTCCATTACCATTCAAGCGTCAAACACAGAAGAGGTCTAAGAGGATAGGAAGGAAACCTGGCAAAAACAAATGGAAACAAGTGAGTGCTGTTCTAGAAATGTCAATCACTGCTTTCTCTGCCCATAACCTTACCTCTAGTCCCAGATAGATGCATGCATTGGCATATTTGTACCACACGTGACCCAATTCCTCTTACCAAGTCAATTTTATAACTACCTGACCCAAGGGTAGTTCTTCCACTAGCTGGCCAGTGCTAAGTGATTTGGGTGGTGTAGTGTGGAAACATGATGGGTTTGGGTCCATGCAATTGTCCACTCAGGAATTTGAAATGAGACAGAAACTGAGCAGTTTAGCTATTGTGCACAGGGGGGAAAGGAGGTGGGGCCGGAGTAGTTTGGGAGTGGATATCACAAGCTCTGTGCAAGAAAACCCAGCTTGGTAAGAGTAGGGTGTAGAATAGAGAGAGGGTGAAGTAAGGAGAGGGAGGGGAGCCTCGATTCTTCCTGACTTCCCATTTTAAGTTCCTACGGGGCCCAGCTGTGCTTTGGTTCTTACCTTTGGGTTCCATGAGATACTGCTGAGAATATTCCTCAGCTGAGTTAGATTGAGTGACTCTCTTTCTTACAACCGAAAGAACCTGCCTAGGATTGAAGCTTAAGGTGCATCACTTCCTGTGTGATTTATCATGTCACTTTCTTTCTTATATTATTAGTTACCCTCTATGTATTATTTTTCTCTCTCCATTTAAACTGAGTTTTTTTTTAAAGATTGATTGATTTATTTGAGAGAGAGAATGAGAGAGAGAGATGAGAAGGGGGAGGGTCAGAGGGAGAAGCAGACTTCCTGCCGAACAGGGAGTCCGATGCGGGACTCGATCCCGGAACTCCAGGATCATGACCCGAGCTGAAGGCAGTTGCTTAACCAACTGAGCCACCCAGGTGCCCGAAACTGTGAGCTTTTTGAGGTCAGTGTTCCATATATTTTAGGGAAGGCTCATCATGATACTATTAATATTAATATTAGCTCACATTAACTCAGCTTTTACTATGTGTCAGATGCTGAGCTAGGTGCTTTCCACGCACTACCTTTTGTAGTAAATGCTCAACTGTGGGTTCTTATCATTATTATTAATAATTACCTTCATCGACTTACTGTGAGGGTAAAACCAGAGGAAATGAACTTGCAATACAGCTGGAGGGAGGAAAGGAGGAATTTATTTCTGGGGTCGTATTATTTTTCTTAAGATTTATTTTCTTTCTTAACAAAAGTGAGACGTGTCCATGAGAGAAAATCTGGAAAACCCAGAAGACCACAAGGAAGAAAAATTTTAAAAATCACCCCATTCTCACCATGAGAGATAACCATTGCTAATATTTTGATGCATATCCTTTCGTTCATACGCACACATGCAAATACGTGCACATGCTATTTTGTCAATTTTCCCAATACAATCTGCGTGAACGCTTCTCATGCCATT